TCTGCGTTTTCGCCTTTTTAGTGGAAGAGGATTTTTTTTTTTTGAAACACAACTTAAAATTAGTGCCGATCAAACAAGGTTTGGTGATACAATAAATGCAGATTCATCTGCCAATACATGTTTAGCTAAACTATCAGCAGTGACATTGTTCACTCGAGAGATCCAGCGAAAAGAGGCAACTTCAAAGGAAGCTGCAATTGATTTGATATCGGCGACGATTCCGTAGAGTGCAGAGGCGACCGATGTCGAGGTCACTGCTTGTATAAGTTGGGACGAATCTGATTCACAGATTACCCGAGTAATTCCAAGCTCTTTGCATTTCATAACTGCAGCCCGTAGCGCCATACCTTCTGCCACAAGAGGGGAAGAGACGAATGGAGCCGCGACTGAGAAGGTAAGTGTTCTGAATTGCTCTGCTATAGTCCATCCGAGTCCTGCTTTTAATTGAACCTCGTTCCAAACTGCATCAGATCTTATCACTGTGCATCCATCAGGATTTGGGATTTGAACTGTTGCACATCGACGCATCACTGTCTTCTTCTCCTGGTTTGTTTCCCACTCTCTCGCAAGCCTAACAGCCTTGGAGACAACTTCCCCTGGGGTCAACCATCTATCATTGAAGATGCCATTGTTCCTGGCCAACCATATTTGCCAGAGTATCCACGGGGCTAGGGAACTCTTTATCACTCCAGTCGGAGGTAAGCAAATACTTGCATTCAAATCATTCCAAGTAGGTTCTAAATCTATCACTCCTCTAACTTCAAAGCTTGGCATTAGTGGGGCAGAATCCCATACCTTTTGCGCAAAGCTGCACTCAAAGAAAAGATGATTTATAGATTCAGGCCTGTTGCAGATTTTACAATTTCCGTCAGCTCTTATATGTCGTCTAACTAGCTGTTCTCCTACAGGTACTGCTCCATGGAAAATTTTCCAGATGAATAGCTTTATCTTTGGAGTTGTCTTCAACTTCCATACACTCTTTCTCCAGTTGGTGATCGTCTCCATATGTTGAACTGCTTCTGATGTTGAGTTCCTGGACATGGCTGCTGCGTAGCCTGTTTTAACGGAATACTCTCCAGTAGGAGTCATGAGCCAGATTAGCTTGTCAGCGGCCCCCAGCTTACTTGGTTTGAGAGCTCGAATCCGCTCCTCCTCAATCGGTAAAATCTCTCTGATTTTATTCACATCCCATTCCATGGTTTCTGAGTTCAATAGATCAGCAACCACAAAGTGTAGAGTAGACACAGGTGGTGGTCCTGTTGGTCTAATAGGTGCATCCAGGCTTAGCCACGCCTCATCCCATATGCTGATATTTTTCCCATCACCAACAGCCCATCCAAGTTGGCTTTTCAGCAAATCTCTGCCTAACAGAATACCCCTCCAGCCATGCGATATTGCATCATTCTCAGAGCAGTCTAAGATCCCTTCTGCAGTGCAATACTTCCCCATCAGTACCTTCGCGAACAAACTATCAGGATGGTTGATAATTCTCCAGCTGAGCTTAGCCAGATATGCATCATTGAAGCTCTGTATATCTCTGAACTCAAGTCCTCCCTTATCCTTTGGCATGATCATCTTGTCCCATGAAATCCATGCCATTTTCTTGTTGCCATTTCGGTCATCCCAAAAGAATCTGGTAAGGGCAGATTGGATTCTTTGGCATAGTGATTTGGGAAGCTTGAAACATGTCATTGCGTGGGAAGGTATTGGGGATAGAACACTTTTGAGCATGGTCACTTTACCAGCTGTGGACAAGAACTTATTTGACCATCCAGCTGCCTTCTGCTTGATCTTCTCGACGATGGAGGTAAACAAGTCGCACTTCTTTCTCCCAAAATGCTCAGGTAGGCCAAGATACTTGCCTACACCTCCCTCTTTCGTTATTTTGAGGTTTGACTTCACTACCTGTTTTAACGTTGCAGGGGTTCTTTTGGAGAAGGTAATGGATGATTTTTCAACATTGATGTATTGTCCAGAAGCCTTCTCATATTTAGCTAGCAGCGCTTGAAGTGTAGAACTACTAGTCTTTGATGCTTTCACGAAGAACATCGTGTCGTCAGCAAAGAGTAGATGATTGAGCCGGGGACTCCCCCGCGCTACTCTAATTCCTTTGAGGGAACCATCTTCTTGTGCTCTGTTGCAAAGACCGGAGAGAACCTCACTGCACATTATGAAAATGTACGGTGAGAGAGGGTCGCCTTGGCGGATTCCTCTACTCGGTTTAACTCTTCCTCTAGGCGAACCGTTGATGAGGAAAGAGTATGAAACAGAAGACACACATTGCATGATTAAATTTACCCAAATAGGATGGAAGCCAAGGCGCTGGAGCACTTACTGGATAAAGTTCCATTCCAGCCGTTCATATGCCTTGCTCATGTCGGTTTTAACCGCCATTGCACATCTCTTTTCCGCTTTAGATGTTTTCAAAAAATGTAGTATCTCGTGGGTGATGAGTACATTGTCTGAAATCATTCTTCCTTTGACAAATGCAGATTGATTTTCAGATATTAGGCTTTGGAGGAGGGGTTGGAGTCTTCTCGTGAGCAGCTTGGAGATAATCTTGTAATACACATTGCATAAAGCAATGGGACGATAGTCGCTAACTCGCTGTGGACTCTGGATCTTCAGTATTAGTCTCACAAAAGTCTCATTTATCCGAGGCGGAAGCTTGCCACATGAGAAGAATTCTTGGATTTCCTTGACAATTTCAGGGCCAATAGAATCCCAATTGGTGTGGAAGAAGCTTGCGGAGAAGCCATCTGGCCCCGGAGCCTTATCAGCGTGTATACTAAATAGAGCTTCTTTAATCTCCCCTGCTGTAGGTATACTGATGAGTAACTGATTTTGTTGTTCAGTGATCTTGCAGGACAGTGCCTCTTCCACAACCTCCTTGCTGCTCCCTGCTATCGACGTGTACATTGTGTCAAAATGATTAACAATGACCTTCACGATCTGGTCCTCCTGGTGCACCATCATTCCTTCAGTGTCTTCGATAACAGAGAAGGCATTAGCTCTTCTTCGGTTTTTCGACACAGCATGAAAAAACCCGGAATTCCTATCACCCAAATTCAGCCAAAGAACACGGCTACGTTGTCTCCAATGTTCCTCTTCCGCAAGATAAGCTGCGCTAAGTTCATCACTGATGCGTTGGATGAGGTTTGTATCATTGACTGGACTTGTAAGGGCTGATTCCAGCTCATATTTTTTCTCCTCAATGAGCTCTCTGCTATTTCTGTATTGAGCTTTACTCCATTCCGTTATCGCAGTTCTGACCTTTGCAATGCGATCAGCGATGTTACACCCTTTTGCCTGAGTCCATGTATCTGCAACCAGAGTTTTTACTGCTTCGTTATCCTTCAATCTACGGTCATATCTAAACAATCCTCTGCGTTTCCTCTTATCAGGTTCAAAGTATGACATTAAAGGTTTGTGGTCAGAGCCCTCGTAAGCTAAGTATTGACATCTTGCTTTAGGAAACAGTTCAGCCCAAGCACTGTTAACTACTGCTCTGTCAAGTCTACACCTTACAAAATGCACTCCTCTCTGTCCTCTCCATGACAACGGGTCGCCAGAATGCTGAAGGTCATACAAGTCTGTTTCTGACATGAACGTGCGTAAGTCTGTGAATGATCCTTCCTCTCTACTTGGTCCTCCTTCTTTTTCAGTGTTACTGGTAAGATCATTGAAATCCCCAGTGACAAAAAGCGGTGCCTCCCTCGAATCCGAGAGAGTGGTTATTTGATTCCATAATTGTCTTCTCTGGGGCTTATCAGTACTAGCGTAGATGAAAGATGCAAAAAATTCCTTGTCTTCAAATTTAATACAAGTATCTATATGATTTGCATTAGAGCTCAATACTTGTAAGTTGATTTCCTGCTTCCACAACAGTGCGAGCCCTCCAGCTCCATGTCCAACTGGTGGTACTAGTACACTGTTTTCGTAGGTAAGTTGATCCAGCTATTGGGGTTTTTAGTTTCCATTAAGAACATGATGTCAGGGAAAATATCCTTCTTCAGTTCCTTTAATCTTTGAACTGTCTTGGGATTCCCCAAACCTTGACAGTTCCAACTAAGGGTGGGCACTTTATCCGATACCCGAACTCGTACCCGAACCCGACCCGAAATATCCGAACCGAAATCCGAACCGAAGTAGCAAAATACCCGAACGGGTATTGAGTTAGGAGAGTTTGGATATCCAAACCCGAACGGGTAATACCCGAACCCGAATGGGTATCCGAAGATAACCGAACATATGTATATATACCTATTATTCCTAGTTTATTTTGTCTCATTTTATTAAAACTATTTATATTAATGTTATATATAGTTTCATATCAGATAATATACATATAATTGTAAAAAAATTGATTTGTTACTCATTTAAAATGCATGTTAAGCTTCTTATTTCATATTTTAAACAAAATTTGCATCCAAAATTCAAAAATAATAACCAAAATAATGATTTTTATTTTCAATAATTTATTTTCAAACTTATTAATCGTCTAACTTATTAAACATTTAAAAAACAGTTAAGTTAATAGTTAAATTTTAAATACATGAAACTTAAGTAATTAAGAATTTAAATTTTTTCTTTCAAAATCTAAATATCCGAACCCGACCCGAAATAACCGAACCCGAACTAAAAATATCCGAACCCGATCCGATATGTAAAAATACCCGAACGGGTTCTAAACCCCAATACCAAAATACCCGAAAACCCGAAATACCCGATCCGAACCCGAACGGGTACCCGAACGCCCACCCCTAGTTCCAACTGCATATTTTTAAGGAACGGGAGAAGATGGAATCCGAAAATCCATCTTATTCCTTGATTTCGTTGATAGCATGTTGCATATGGGTTGGTTTTCTGATATAGTGGCAGCATCTGATGTTGACTTTGAAGACGTATTTCTTATACCATCTGTTGTCAGTTTCTTTTTACAGGTGGGCATAGCATCTTTCTGCTCTTTTCTTTTGTGTGAGCTAGATCCCCGGATTAGTTTAGGGCTCTGATGAGTAATTCTCCTGACTGGGGGGGCGTCCCAGCTTTTTCTTCTCCGCCTGGTTTGTTACCGCTGTCTCGTTATTCTGTTTCTTCTTTTGAGAGGGGGCTTTAATCCTTTGGGAGACAGGGGGACGTCCCGGTTTCCTCTTAGTCGGAGGCGCAGGTAATGGGATATTCACCTCATTTGTGGGATCAGGATTGAGAGGGCCTAGTCTCTGAGAGATAGGAATTCTTTCTGCAGTAGGGGGAGTGTCTTGTACCATTGGTTCTGGTGCTTCTCTCTCAGTCCTGGAAGCTTCAATCATGAGCAACGCTGCCTCTTCCATCTCGCCCTCTTGTTCCGCTAACTTCATTCTTTCTCGCCTAGCTGCACTCTCAGTAGGATCAGCACTTCGAGTATAGAGTTCCATGGCTGCCTTTACTTCTCCAAGTGCCACCTCAAAGGCCCCTTGTTGATTGTCTTGTAGGGGAATCCCCCTGTTTTGTTCATTTGTCTGAGTTTTGGAGGAGCTAGAGTCTTCTCCTCTGTTGAGAGGGATGTGTGCTAGTTGGTTCCTAACCAAATCAACTCTTGGAGATCGCATCCTTTCTCTGTTATCTTCATTTTGGTTAGGCAGTCCATAGCTTCCATTGTGTGCTCTGTTATTTCCACTCCTTTGGTTTAAGGAGTGGCTTGTAGTCTTGGCTCTCCATTCCATTGGTCTATGACTATAGCTAGTCCTATGCGAGGACATGTGAGATTGTCTAGATCTTCTGCTCTCATTGATGTGGTGTCTAGCATCTCTGCGCCTATCAAAGTATTCCCTGATTGGGTGTTGTGTCTCATGGTGATCTCCTCTAGACCTCGTAGCTGAGAAACGGAACACCTCAGAGTGTCCCCGGTGTGAGTCCTCACCATCCCTGTGCTTGTTGGCATGCTTTGTCTTATCTTCTTCCTCTTTGACCCGTTTCATTTCATGTTTTGCAACTAGGCAGTCTTTGATATCATGGTCTAGACGGAAGCATTTATCATAGTGTCTCTCCAGACGCTCGTAGACAAACGTGGCACATACCTCATCACCATTCGAGTACTCAATGATGGATTGCTTGAGGAGAGGCAGTAACCCGTTGATTTGGACCTTCATTCGCACTGTTAGCGGAGTGATTTCCATTTCTTCGAAAATTCCGAGGTCTTCTCCCAGGTTCTTGATCGTTGCCTCTGACCACAAGTGTATGGGAATCCCTTGGACCTTTATCCAGAATGGGATGAGTGATGGGAAGGTTGGGGCAGCTGTAGGTTCCCATCGTTGGATAATGAGCATCCATCTTGCAAAGTGGAAAGGCCGTTTCTCCAACACTGCCTGTATGTCAGCTTCGCTTGCGAATTGAAACTGGAAAAGGCCATTACCCAGATCCGAGCCAATCGGCCTTCCATAACCTTTCCATTGTTCAGTAAAATATGGTATCAGGGACCATACTTTCTGAACTGACTTGTTTGTAACTCTTCCTATGAGCGTGAGTGAGTGCTTTTGTGCTATTGTTGCGCTATCTGGTGCTTGTGCTCGAATTCTACCAGTTCGAGGAGCTTGTTGAGTTTCTTGTTGGATTCCTTTTCCTTTATCCATAGATGTAAGCCTTCTTGTCGACTTTTCTTTGTTGAGAGGGGTGGTTCTTCTTCCAGAAGTTATCAAACACAAGATATGCTGTTTTTATCCGGAGTAGGTAAAAGCTAGCAGACTGGAATCCCAGTCGTTTGGTAGGAATAGACCTTTGTGTTTCTTATCTGTCGTAGAAGGACTTAGTGTGCGCTAGACAAGATTTTGTTGAGCTTGTTGAGAGATTTGCAAGATTCCCGGCGGTGATCTTCATGGCTGTGGACGGCCCTCCGACCTGGGTTGGGGGAGAACCCGGTGTGTAATTCACCAAGACTTCCCTTTATCCGTTGGTTAATTCTAAAAGAAGTAAAGCAATTTGAATTTTCCTTCTTTGCAGGCTTTTCAGAGCAGAGGGGAGGGAAAATCTGTTGGGTAAAGACTTTTCTTGTTAATAGTGTCTTAGTGGAAGAGGATATATAATGAAATATTGACCGCGAACTAAAGATGGATTTAAACGAAAATTTAAAACAAAGAAACTAACTTTTAAAAGTCTTTTTTATAATCTACAGATCACTCTTTCCTAGTAACTAATCTCTTTGCCCTTTGGTATTACACACAAGGCTAATCATATTCACATGTACTATTCCATCAATCTATTCCATCTACAGACTCTGACATAATCATTTGCGATCATCTTTCAAAATTCCACCAAAGAGTCATGCGAAATGTCTCAAAATTGTAAATTAGATCCTTAAAATAATATTTCTTGGATGGCAATGATCCTGATACAGAAAAAAAAAAATGATCCTGATACAGAATCACAGATATAGGAAAAATATAAACAGGATTAGAGAGACAGGTGGACTTGTGCTATAATCTAATTTAACGCAAATGGGCCGTAAGTCAGCTGCGTAGATGCTAGCCCATCGCCCAGACCATCCTCTCAACTCCGAAGCTCTCGCTTCTTCTTGTATGGACATTATTTATATACTGTAGTCAAAGTAGGAAATTTTATCTCAAGTAAAGTTGGGACTATTTCCTTACAAGTAAGATCATGATTCATGAATAAATGAATCTAAAGTTAGTTAAAACAGTTTTTTTATATGTTCATTATTTATATGTTCATTATTTTTGTTCAAAAAAAAGTTAAAACAGTTTAAATATTAATTTTGACATCTACTTTAGTTTGGATTATATCAACAAATTTAAAGAAATTAGAATTGACATGCTGGGACATTGATTGCATTAAGACACTTGTCTTTTTAGCGTATTTCATTTTTCTTTCCCCTTAATCATACAAAATAATGAACATATAAATACATAACAAACCCTCTTTTTCTGTAACTACCATTTTGTATATATTACCTATTTTCTTTATAATTATCCATTTTGGAGTTAGTAAACAGCCTATTTAAGCATTTAATTATATTGGTAAATATATACATTTTTCCATAAGATCTAAAAAGATTGGTTCAGCTTTCGATTCATGACCGATCCATCTTTCAAACTAAATAAAGCTCCTGTTTTGAAATGATACGCAACATCTCCACTATGTTGGCATTAAATCAATATGTTCAAAGTTTATAATAATAAACAAATAATTTCAAAGAAGTTGACCACACTACCTAACGATCACATCGAATCGAAGACGAAGAAGACAAAACCCCTAAAAAAAAAAGAAATTCCGACAAGAACAAAGCTGTTCTGTAATGGAGATTTGAGTAAAAAGAAGAGATTGAAAAATGGTGGAGGGTTGGCGCAATGGGTTTCGAGAGGCGACGAATTCAAAGCCTCTGTTCGTGACGATATACGCGACGGTGATCATCGGCGTTCTAGTCTCTTCCTTCTATGTCTTCTCCGCTATTTACTCTCCCACCAATGGCTCCACCTCCTGGCTCTCTTCTCCTCCTCTCTCCAGTAACCACTCTCTCTCTCTCTTCGTCTCTGCATTTTACTGTGATGGCAAATGGTTACTCTGCCTCGCAACTATTCAAAGTTTGGATCTTTTTGCTGTTATGAGTTTGATTCAGTAATCGAATTGATGTCTGAACATTAGGTGAGATTTTTCTGAAGGTTAGGTTAGGTTCTCTAGTTCGAGCTCACCGTTGACCTTAAATCTCAATGTTCGTTTTGAGACAATGGGTTTTGACTTTTCTGTCTGATCAAGTGATTATAACTAATGTACTTGGATCTGCATTTAGTATGTCTGCAAAGTTTTTGTCTTTTTCCCCGACACTATGTTTTAGTTCAATCAAAAGTTCATGTTATTTAGGCTAAATGAACTTGCTTTGAGTTATACACCAATCTCACTAAAGCAGTATAATCTAAAAGTTTGGTTCTTTTTCACTATGTACTATTTGTAGTTGCTGGCCGTATTCACAAACTTCCACAAGAGAATGCCACGTCACAGTTACCAGAGGCACTAACACCGCCAGCTCCGGAGGAGGAAGCTAAAGGCAAATCATTGGGTAAAATCTGGGTGTCTCCTCCTAAAGACAAGAAGATGCCACCACTTGAAGCCTTTAAACTAACTAAAGAGTTGTTTGGGGAGAGAGTGAAGGATAATGTGATAATAGTCACATTTGGGAACTATGCTTTTATGGATTTCATCTTGACTTGGGTTAAACACTTGACTGATTTAGATCTCTCCAATATTCTAGTTGGTGAGAGCTTTCACTTACTAATATCCATTTTCATTATCTTTCTGTAAGTTTACTAACTTAGGGATTCATAGGTGCTATGGATACAAAGTTGCTAGAAGCTTTGTACTGGAAAGGTGTTCCGGTTTTCGACATGGGAAGCCATATGAGCACAGTGGATGTTGGTTGGGGCTCCCCAACGTTTCACAAAATGGGAAGAGAGAAAGTTATTCTCATTGATTCCGTTTTGCCTTTTGGTTATGAGCTTCTAATGTGTGACACTGACATGGTCTGGCTTAAGGTACTAATTCGATTAGTACTCTTTAATGTCTCTCCCTGTTCTCTTCATTGATCTGATGATTATTTATGTTGACAGAACCCTCTGCCTTATCTGGCTCGGTTCCCTGATGCTGATGTTCTGACATCAAGCGATCAAGTTGTGCCTACGGTTGTGGATGACAGCTTGGATATATGGCAACAAGTTGGCGCCGCATACAACATAGGGATCTTCCATTGGAGACCAACAGAAGCTGCCAAAAAGTTGGCTAAAGAGTGGAAAGACATTCTCATAGCTGACGATAAGGTTTGGGATCAAAACGGGTTCAATGAGATTGTTAGGAGACAGCTAGGCCCATCAGTGGATGGTGACAGTGGACTCTTTTATGCTTATGATGGTAATCTCAAGGTTGGGATCTTGCCGGCTAGCATATTCTGCAGTGGTCACACTTATTTTGTTCAGGTAACCTTTCTGTTCTTGTGGTGGTTTTGTCTTTGTCTTTTGTGGCTATACTCTAATAGTTAAGTTCTGCTTTTGAATGATAGGCTATGTATCAGCAGCTCAGGCTAGAACCGTATGCGTTGCATACAACGTTTCAATACGCAGGTACTGAAGGTAAACGTCACAGGCTTCGAGAGGGGATGGTTTTCTTTGACCCACCAGAGTATTACGATGCACCAGGAGGGTTCATTTCTTTTAAACCATCTATTCCAAAGAGCATGTTATTAGATGGGAATCATACTATTGAGTCACACTTTGCCCTCGTTAACCACCAAGTACGCATCTACTAACCTAGCATCGTCTCTGTGAGCTATATGTTAACTTGGCTACGTTCTAATTATACATCTTTCTTTGGTACCACTTTAACAGATGAAACAGATACGATCAGCTCTAGCCATTGCGTCTTTGCTAAACCGTACACTGGTGAGTCTAGTCAACAGATTATTATATGCTTATCTTCTAGTGATATCATTTGATTCTTATGTATACATATCTGGTTGGTATATCTACAATGTTTTCAGGTGATGCCACCAATATGGTGCAGGTTAGATAGGCTTTGGTTTGGACATCCTGGTACTCTTGTGGGATCTATGACACGTCAACCTTTCATCTGCCCGCTTGATCATGTCTTTGAGGTAAGCATGTCAATACACCTTCTGGTTCTTTCTCTGCAAGTGCCTCATAACACCCTGAAGAATCTCAATTACAGGTCAATATCATGCTAAAGGAGCTACCAGAGGAAGAGTTTGGTCCGGGGATTGGTATCAGAGAATATTCTTTCTTAGATAATCCATCATTACCAAAACAAGTAAAAGAGTCATGGCTTGATGTTCAGCTTTGTCAAGAAGGAAAAGAAGGATGTGAGGCTTCGAATATCACTAGCTCCTCTGGGGCTCTTAAGTTCCCAAAGCGGAGCAATGAAGATACGGTAACTAAGACCTCTTTGTTATTTATGTTTTTTTTTTTTTTAAAACATGACTGGCTTAGCCTCATTGCTTTGTTTTTGGTGTTCACTTCAGTTCAAGGCGATTTTCTCTTCCTTCAATGATGTCAAAGTGATCAAGTTCTCTTCAATAGAAGATGCTTTCACCGGATTCTCTGATAAGGCAAGTAGATATATGAGCCGTGAATCATTCAGACATGTTGTTAGAACATGTAGATCTTATATATATGTGGTTTGCATGCAGGAGCGGGAAGAGAGATTCAGAAGACGGGTGAAGAGATATGTGGGGATATGGTGTTGTGAGGAGAATAAGACTCCGGGACATATTTATTACGACATGTACTGGGATGAGAAACCTGGTTGGAAACCAGTTCCTCCACAGACACCAGAAGAGGATCATCCTCCACTTTGATGCTCTGACTACTCAGCAAGAGAAACTCTAAGAAGCAGAAGCAGAAGCAGAAGCAGAAGCTTTATTCTATTTCTTGGGTCACAAGGAAGCTTAAGAGTTTGTTTTTGTTTTTCTTTTCTTACAGCCCGTTTACTACTGTAAAACTGAACTTCTGTCTTACACAATTGTATAAGCAAATGTTTTAATGATAGGTTTGGACACAGAGAAAATCATTCCCCATATAGTTTAGGTCAATTCATCTAGAAAGCACAAAATATAATTCTTATCATAAAAATAGCACATTAGATACTAAGTTACATTTAAAGACTAAATTACATTTAAAAAATATTTTTAAATATTGTTATTTTAAAATTTATATTTAAAACTTTAAATTCTAAATCATTAATTATAAGTCCTAAACCCAAAATTTCAACTTCCAAATTCTAATTTTTAACTATTAATCGTAGGAGTATACGTGTGTTATACCATTTATTGAATGCTAGTTTGATCATTTTTATGATAATAATTATTTTTGTGTTATTCTAATGTACTTTTTTATAGTTTATCCTTTTTGTTCCGATAAATGTTAATGGCTTATCAGACCCGGCCACACGGAGATCCTCTTTGGAGAATCGGTTTGACTGGTCACCACTTGATCTAGTTTAGATGGGCGGTTTACAAAAAAAATGATAGGTTTTTTTATATTTCTCTTGATAAAAAAAAACTTCAAAAATATAATGAAGCCTTAAATTATTCACGGGCCTCCGATGTGATGCGACCGTCACATAGGCCTGTCAAATACATTGAGATTCCTGACCGTAACCCAGCCCGGTTTAACGAAACATCAGGCGGCGATTAGAGAAAGCCACGTAAACTACTTCATGCACACGTAAGACGTGTGATCCTCTCTCATTCTCCGTCATCGGCAAACACCATGGGTCCCCCGCTGACCATTTTCTTTTCTTCCTCGCTCAAAAGGTTCTCCGTCAACTCACGGAGTAAACATAAACGGTTCTTAAACGCCGTCAAAATATCTATTTTTATTCTTCCACTTATAAATAACCCCCGGTCTCCATGTGTCTTTTTTTCTCTGTCACTCCGAAACAGAACCAGGAGCTTCGTACCAGTTACCAGGTAAGGTAACCTGCTTACCCGGAAGTTTTGCATTTTTTCGGGTTTATTCTCGTATTCACTCAGAAAGTTTTTTTTTTCCATTGAATCGTTTTTCTTAGCTTTGTCACTTCTTTCAAACTTTTTTTGTTTTGTGTTATGAAAATCATTCTAATAAGTTTTTGTTGGCGCTTATTAACAGTTGCATTATCATTCGTTATCTCTTAAACCCATTGATATTGATAGATTTTGAACCGTCGTTTTCTCTACATTATTGGCGATTAAATTTACTATGAAAACAACGTTTCTTCCATTAAACTAACCAGAACACTTCTGATTAGTCGTAGAATTAGTTTTTCTTGGAAAATTTGTAATAAAAGTTTTCCTTTTACTCGACAGAAAATTAGAAATATTTGTCGATTTTTTATTTCGAATAAAAAAAAAGACATTCATCATCAGTTACGTCGTCGTCCTTTTGCTCCCGCATTGCCTGTAACGTTGCTAAATATCTGTAGTCTTTGATTTTCTATTTATAGGAGCAGAGCTCAAGAGCTGAATATAAACTTTACTGTAAAAGTAATTCCTCAGATAAACACGCTTAGCCTTCAGACATCGATACAAAAGGTAAACTACATCATAATATTTCACTTTGTAATATTTCATTGAATACATAATAATATCTGACCTGAGAAATATTTAACATTGAAATTTGGGGTTTTGAGTGAAATCAACTAAAGACTTAAGAGTTAATTCGTGAAACTCATCTCTTCTTCGATTCTTACTTCACCTTCCTTTTTTATTTTATCCCTCTCTTTTGACACGGTTCATTTTTCTGGACATGCATCAAGATTATTCATCAGTTTAAGCTAATTTATTTTTTCTTTCTAGGTGATTTAGCTCTTTCTTTTGGCTTCAAACACGTGACTGATAAAGATTACATTGTGAGGTTGCAATTTTTTTTCTTCACTTCTGGTTGTAAGAAATTCCAGTGTCTCTTTCTTCAGTTTTAGATGGACACGAGGGGATCAGGAGAAAACATATTAATTTGTTTTTATTCTTACTTATAGCACAATCTATTTTTCTATTATGCTCCCTAAAAAAAAATGTCAGGTACTTCGGCTCGCATGATTAAAAAAACTTGTAATTTGTGTGTGAGGAGGGATGGGGTCTTTATTTAGTATTTCTGCACAACAAAGCATCAACACACTCCGTTTGGCCTCTTTACATAGACCACTTTCTACATAAAAATCAAAAAATTAAGTATTTATAATATATAGATGATGGCTTGTCTCTACCATGTTCATGTTTAAAAACAATTTTATAATTCTAAATACTAGAATTTGATATACTCAGGTGCTTGGACAACCCTTTTTTCGTCTTTTGGGTCCTTTTTCTGATCCCAGGTTAATCTTTGAACACTTTTTTGTCTTTACCAAGATTATTGCCCCTAATAATGAACCTTCTTATCTTATATTATAATAAGATGTATTTTAAACTAGTATCCCTTTGAGTTCCTTAATTTCTTGAAAATATTTTAAGGAATACTATTTCTTAATCTTAATGGGGGCTAAAGTTTAAACTACACAAAAAAATCATTGTGTCGAGTGGTTGTGAATTATGATCAGAACATAATTAATTCTCTAAACAATTTATCCATATAACTCATGATTCGGACCACTGGATCCAAATGTTACTACATCTATGACCCTATTTATTATTGAATTTGCACCAACTTTTCATTAGGTAACTACCGTCTAGCATTTAACATTCCACTTCTTTCTGTATCCATCTTTATCTATGAGTGGTGGTTTAGTCGTAACACACTGTTTAAATGGTATACAGGGCTTAAAAGGCAGAGTGCATAAAGAAGAGTGCAAAGATGTTTACTTGCATAAACTGTACTAAAATGGCTGACAGAGATTATGAAGAAGACGAAGATGGAGCCCGTGGAAGCACCACTCCCAACACTAAAGATGCCGTTAAAAGCCTAACTACACAGGTCTATCTATCTAAAGATCTTTCCTTATGCTTTTTTCACTTTATTTTGCTGCTTTTGGGCCTTAAACTGTTTAACACTTGAGGTGACAAAAGGGGTTAAAAAATATATCTTTTTGCTGTTAAAAAAGTTCATATTAGGCTATAAAGTACAAAAGTATAGATTTTTTTAGTTCACAAGATAGTTAGAGGTTACTGTTGAAGGCTGCATGTTACAGACAAAAATAGGATCTCTAGCCAAGATTTTATGTTGATGCTACATCACTTCCTGGATGCTCTTGTAAATCTATCTTTAATAGGTGTGTCAGTGTTATTTTCTTTCCCCTGTATGTGACTGACTAGACATAAAATGGAGCACCAAGTAGTACAATTATCAAAACAAATCTAGCAAAATCTCAGAATCATGTGCACACTGAATAATAGTATTACGGCTGATGACTTATGTGGATGATATTTTACAGACTGACTGAAAAAAAAAGTTAATGGAGTCATGCCTAGTTGAACATAACTTTTGCTTGTTGTTGAAGATTCATCTTTACTTTCCTAGAACTAGTGCAAACTTATCTAAGACATGAGGGAAAAAAATGGTAGTGGGGGAAACTATATAGTATACATCAAAAGAAGAAAAAAATAGTGTTATGGAATATATTTTATTTTTCAATGTTCACCTCGTTGTGCTGGTGCTATGTTCTGTGTTTAAGATTTTGACTTCTTGGGTACGAATGCTATGCAGATGAAAGATATGGCCTCGAAGTTCTCGGGTGGTTCTAAACAATCCAAGCCACCCTCCGGCTCCTCAAGCAGCAACTTGAGAAAAGAGCAGAGAAAGTACCAAGATTTCGACACTGGTTCGGATAGTGTTCCATACCACCCTTATATGGGTGGTGGAAGCACGAGTTCCAGTGCTGCCTGGGACTTCGCAAGCTCCTCCCACCATCAAGTTGAACGGGGAGACTCAAGACTCACATCAATCTATGGAGGTGAAAGAGAATCCGTGTCTTCTCAGTCATGTGATGTGGTACTAGAGGATGAGGAGCCAAAAGATTGGATGGCTCAAGTAGAGCCTGGTGTTCACATTACATTCGTTTCACTTCCTAGTGGAGGAAATGATCTTAAACGTATACGTTTCAGGTATAAACAAAACTTCACTTCATGACATTGATGAAGCTAACACTTAACTTGTGTCTTTGTTGAAGCCGGGATGTGTTTGACAAGTGGCAAGCTCAGAGGTGGTGGGGTGAGAACTATGACAGAATAGTTGAGCTTTACAATGTTCAAAGATTTAACCGGCAAGCCCTTCAAACTCTTGGTAGATCCGAAGACCAGGTAAAAATCATCAAACTCATAAACGATTTGTAATGAGTTCCATTAGTTTTTTTCTTTAGACAAGAGTGTCCCTCGTTAATGAGTAATCTAAACTTGTTTCATCTTCAGTCACAGAGAGATTCAACTTACACAAGAATAGAATCAGCAAGAGAAAGCAGAGACTGGACTCCAAGAAACAACTACAAGCTTCCAGGTAGCAGCAGCATCCCACATAACTTTTATGGAGCTACAATGGATGCAGCACGAACCACCACCTCATCTAGGGAAGAGCCGTCTATTATCAGTAACGCTAGTGATATGCACTCAGAGTGGGTTGAAGAGGACGAGCCAGGGGTTTATATTACAATCAGACAGTTACCAGATGGAACCAGAGAACTACGCCGTGTAAGATTCAGGTAAACCTAACTTTGTTTAGATGATAACTTGAGCACCAAGTTTACTTTATCCAGTCACTAGACGAGAGAACCGGTTTCTAATTAGCCTTTTAACCCTAAACGTTAACCAAATTAAACCGGGTGTTTGCAGTGGGGAACGGTTTGGGGAAGTGCATGCTAAAACATGGTGGGAGCAGAACAGAGACAGAATACAAACACAATACCTCTAACTAAGTGGGGGACAAAAAGAGAAACCAATACTTAATCTTCTTTAACACAGATAAGGTAACTTGGAACTGAAGGAAACTTGTAGGGCTTGTGATGCAAGTTACAGTGTTAACATATTGAAAAAAGAGCGTAGACCGGCATTGGTTCTTAGATAGTACCAGAAGCTTTGCATTCTTCAAGTAGATTAAGCATGTGGCGTTCTGGTGCACTGAGCGAAGGCAAGAACCGACGCTTGGGATTGCATTGGCTAGTCACCGATGGTTTTGTCATAAAGCCATCAGGTTCTGTAGGAACACAGCTGGTTCCAACAGATTCAACTACATCTACTCCATCTTGTGTAATGGCCAACTCGCCTCGTCTCCTCATTGAAGCCGACACTCTCTCTTTCCAGATTCTCCCGTCCTGTGCTTGAAAACGATCACAAAAAAAAATAGAGTTAAGGTTTCTGTAACACTCCTATCTTTGTATTTTCGTGGAACTTCAAGAAACAGATGTTATGAAGTTCATACATTGAGAATGGATGGCTCAGGGAGTGGACACTGAACCGGTTGATCATTGTCCATGGGCTCAATAGGGTGCTCCACTGGTTTAAACTCTGTTCCTACTTCGATCCCATGAATCGAACCATCAAGATTAGTAGTATTTGGAGGCAGTGGTTCCCTCAGATCCTGATCATAAGAAAATATTAATGTCAAAACTGTATTTATAAGGATGAGAAATAAAGAATCATAGATTCAATTTAAATGGAATTATGTTACAGAAGCAGATTATGAAAATAGTGAATGTTTTGGCTTGAGGAACTTAAAAAATTCACCTTGAAAAAAAAAAAAAAGCAACTGGGAGCATGTAATCATCAGCTCTAAGCCTAAGTTGATAGCATCTCAAGAAGATCAGAGCAAAATATGGCAAATAAAATCTGAAAGAAAGCTTAACCAAAAGAAAAACGAATCTACCGGAGAAGGATCATACTAAGAACCAATCACTTTAAACATAAAGCACAAATTAACAAAACAACAACCTCATGTTCCATATAACTTAACCTTCAAGAGAAAAGTATGAAAGACAATAAAAAAAAAAACTTTATGTTCTCCAGGAACTAAAAAAGAGCCACATGAAACTTCAACTGGAATAAGACGAGCAAATAGAGGAGAGAGCTTACGATGGCACTCTGTGTTCTTCTATGGCCACTTCTACCAACAGAGAATCTAGAGAAAATACCAACCATGGTACGGAATTCGATTTTTCCTGAACTCCTATTATGCAATATGGTGGAAAAGAGGAAGCCTTCTTGATCTTGAGTCTTTGGACTTTTTCTTTTTCCCGAAATGCTGAAAAAGAAAACAGTATAGTAAAGAAACTTGTCTTAAGAGTATATATTCTCCAGAGCACCAAAGCAGAATAACAAAAGCAGCCACACAGCTCACTTCTTTAAGACTCAAGAATATTTATGTGTGGGCTGATGATAAATGCTCTCTTAGCTTCTTAAGCTTTGCTTGGCTTCAAGACTTCAACAGATTCTTGGTTATGGCGTCTTTCTAGTGTTCCTTCAACTTTTCTTGGTTTTGCAAAATTATATTATTGATGATGATATATTGGCTTATAAAATTGGAATGATCCCCCTTCTTGGCTTTAAAAAAAACAGCCATGTTTTTGGTTCAGCTTTATTAAAATTTATAGAATAGAGTAATCATTAGATTCACATCCAGAAAGCTACAAATCAAACGACTAGTTGGGTTACTTAACGTATGTAAATTATAATTTAGAAAGGGCTCTTAACTTATGTCTGACGCTATTTTGTCGTTTTCTTTTTTTCTTGATAACAATTAGAATAATTAATTCAAATATGAAGTATAAGGAATCTTTTACCAGCCACGTGGTCAAATCCAATTTTCATTACTTTATTCATTAGGATAATTAAGAACAAAATCTTGTTGACAAAAAAAAAGAGAACAAAATCGTGATTTAATTTAATTTTTGATCAACAAAAGACTAAATCTTCCAACTTAAGAAAATGTTATGATCTAGGATTCAGACAAAGGTCACTTTGCTGAAGTTAAGGTTTAGGGATTTCAAGTCAAAAGTCTGGTTAAAATGTTAAGATCTAGGATTCAAACTAAGGTTATTTTATTAATTCAAAATAATAAATTAGCTTTTATCAATTCAGTCTTAATATAATTATTAATTTATTATTGACCATATTTAATGCATAAAAAGGAAGTGAATTTTTATTTAAGATATTTTTCCTTTTCAAAAAAGATTTTTTCCTTTTTAATTTTAGGTAAACTATTTTGACTCTGGAAACTTTTATTTTACAAGCTTTATATATAAATGAGATTGTGGAAGATAAACTTGTACCTACCTTCATCCCTAACCTCACATCTTGGCTTTTCGTATTTACCGTCTCACCACACCGTAAAAAATATGGACCTCCGAAAATCAGTAGGGAAGCAAAACGAGCTCGCTCTTAGAGTGGCTAATCACGTGATCACCACCACCGACGCGAAAACCTCCAACCTCGTGTTTTCGCCGGCGTCAATAAATGTCGTACTCAGCTTCCTCGCTGCCAAGTCTGGCGGATCCACTGCAGATCATATTCTCTCTTTACTACAGGCTTCTTCTACCAAAGAGCTTAATGCCGTGTCGGCCAAGATAGTAACAGACATCCTCGCCGACAGAACCGCAAGTGGCGGTCCAACGATCTCGACAGCTAACGGCGTCTGGATCGACAAGACTCTCTCTGTTGAGACTTCTTTTAAAGATCTCATAGAGAATTCGTATAAGGCTGCTTTTAACCTAGTTGATTTTCGCACTAAGGTATGTTTTTTTCAGACAACCTAAACTCTTATGTCTTAAACCAAACTTTTGTTTTTTTGTTTTGTTTTTGATAATTATTTTTTATTTTTGTTTTGAAAGGCTGATGAAGTGGCTGAAGAAGTGAATGAATGGGTTAAGAATCAGACAAGAGGACTCATCACTGACCTCATAAGATCTGTTTCTCCTATGACTGATCTCATATTTGCTAATGCACTCTTCTTCCATGGAAGATGGGATGAAGAATTTAAACCATCGTTCACTAAAGATTCAGATTTTCACCGTCTTGATGGAACTAAACTACGTGTTCCCTTTATGTCCGCATACTTCTCTTGCAAACACCGTCTTGAACTCTACCAAGGTTTCAAAGTCCTTCAGTTACCATACAAGGGAGGAAGCAACGACGATCGTTGTTTCTCGATGCTAATCTGTCTGCCTGATGAAAAAAATGGGTTGCATGCAATGATGGAGAGGCTAGCTTCTTGTCGTGGCTTCTTGAATGGTGATGGAGACATTCGTGGGGAATGTGTAGATGTTGGAGAAGTTAAGATTCCAAAGTTTAAGTTTGGTTTTGATCTTGATGTCTCGGAAGCTCTCAAGGGTTTGGGATTGGAGACGCCCTTGGAGAAGATTGCCCACAAGGCTTTCATTGAGGTCGATGAAGTGGGAACGAAAGCTGCCGCTGCTACTGCTATGTCTTGTTTTGGCGGTCCTATGCTCCGGAAATACTATGACTTCGTGGCTGATCATCCGTTTCTCTTCATTGTCAAGGAATACAGAAGCGGCTTGGTTATGTTCCTCGGTCAAGTTCTTGATCCTTCTATGCATTAAGTTTGACCATTTGAAGTTTTCAAAAACAATCAAATATTAAATTATAATAAATGTTATATGGACATCTCAAATCTTGAAAACCCCTTCTAATAGTTTCACCCACGTCCAAGAACATTATATGAACTCCTCTCTTTTACTTAATCTCAGAGTCTTTCACATTTTTAAGAGAAACCAAAATGGTCTACACACCAAACTATAAAAGAAAAGCCATTCATCCTCTTCTACGTTCTTTTACACATAACATATGACTTGCTCTTGAGAAAAGTGCAGTGCTATGTGGATATTGATTTAAACATCTTCGATTTCGATGTATTACTCTATTTTTCTCTTCAAAATAGAATAGTTCCATAATAGAGTTGGATTTGACTCCTCCAACCCTACTCCCTTTTAAAGTATAAATAGTTTAATAACCAACAAAAAGCAATGCATTATTCCATTTACAAAGTACAATTATTTATAAACCGAACTGAAATATGGTCTTCAGCACTTGTGGACGTTGGACCGAAAATCGGGTCTCAATTCGTTTTTCTTGAGAGAATTTTAGAGGGAGAGAAAGCTGAGAGAGAAGATAGCCTTTTTGGCTTTTTCTAGGTCTTTTGTACTTTAGGTGGAAAAACTACCTTATTATTTAAAAATATTCTTTTGACAAAAAAAAAAGGGTTAAAAATGTTCTTCAGTGTAATAAAAGTCTTAAAATTAACCCTTTATTTAAATGACTTTAATTTATATTGTGTCAACAATTTTATTTTAAGTATATAAATATATATATATATACATATATATAATTTACCAAATTTTACTCATTTTAAAATAGGAAATATTTTTAAGTTTTTCTATATTTACCGAAAATAAAAATCTATTTGTGAAATTGAAAATTTAAAGATGTTTTTTTGGCTTAATGATAATATTGTACAATTAATGTTATTTTTGTTTATGATAAACATGAGAATTGTATATAAATAATGTTTAATTTAAAAAATTTAATCCATTTTTTAATTTTTGTTAAGATGAAGGTTATTATTATTTTGTTTAAAATAAATTTTGAGATATCATTTTAATATTTATAAATATATAGAGTAAAAGAATTTTAGAAGATTTTGTACAATATAATAGAAATATAATTATAATTAAATGAAAATTATATGCAGGCAAAAAAATTACTTATTTAGTTAAATTGTGAATTAATTAATTATTTTTATGTAACCATTGAATTAATTAATTATTAATTAGTTAATTAATTAATTATTAATTTTACAAATATATTTTTGATATATTCAATGCTGATAAAGATATCAATGTTTTGACATATTTTATTTTAAAATAATTTTTAAGAATGGTTTCCAATATAAATTTTGATTTAAATTTATATTTCCAGTTAAAATTTTAATTTTCTTCAAGTTAATTTTATTAAATTTAAATTCTGGATTATTTTGTTAATGCTATTAACTTATTATTAACCCTATTTAATGAATTAAAAGGAAGTGGATACTTATTTGAGATGTTTTTCCTTTTTCAAAAAATACTTTTCCCTTTTTAATTTTAAGTAAAATATTTTGAAGTTGGAAATCCATCTTATAACAAAATAACAATTAATACAATATAATAATATAACACTGTCTAGTTATAACAAATACATATATTTATATAAAAAACAAAATAAAATTGTGGGAGCTAGATAATCTTTTGCCTACCTTTCATCCTAACGTCACCTCTTGGCTTTCGTAGTTACCGTCTCACCACGCCTTAAAATATGCACCTGCGAGATTCAGTAGAGAAGCAAAACGAGTACGTTCTGAATTTTGCTAAGCACGTGATCGCCACCACCGACGCGAAAACCTCCAACCTCGTGTTTTCGCCGGCGTCAATCAACGTCGTCCTCAGCTTCCTCGCCGCCAAGTCAGGCGGATCCACCGCAGATCATATTCTCTCTTTACTACAAGCTTCTTCTACCAGTGATCTTGATACAGTCTCCTCCATGATAGTAACAGGCATCCTCGCTGACCGCACCGCAAGTGGCGGTCCAACTATCTCAGTAGCTAACGGTGTATTTATTTTTTTCACCTCTAAACTTTGATTAGGATGTTTTTCCAGTTGAGCTAATGACATTTGGTTGTATTTATTTTCAGACAACCTAAACTTATGTCCGAAACCAAACCATAGATGTTAATTAATAGCTTTTGTTTTTTTTTGAGTTTAAAACAGACAACCTAACTCTTATGTCTGAAACCAAACCATAGATATTAATTGATAGCTTTTTTTTTTTTTTGAACACAAAGATATTGATAGCTTTTACTGTTTTGTTTTTGTGTTTTAAAAGGCTGATGAAGTGGTTAAAGAAGTGAATAAATGGGTTAAGAATCAGACAAGAGGACAAATCACTAATCTCCTAAGCTCTGTACCTCCAGAGACTGATCTCATATTTGCTAATGCACTTTTCTTCCATGGAAAATGGGATAAAGAATTTAATCCAAAATTAACTAAAGATTAAGATTTTCACCGTCTTGATGGAACTAAACTACGTGTTCCGTTTATGTCTTCCTACGCCTCTTACAAACACCGTCTTGAACTCTACCAAGGTTTCAAAGTCCTTCAGTTACCATACAGAGGAGGAGGAAAAAACGACAAACGTTATTTCTCGATGCTAATATGTCTCCCTGATGAAAAAAATGGGTTGCATGCAATGCTGGAGAGACATTCGTGGTGTATATGTAGATGTTGGACAAGTTAAGATTCCAAGGTTTGAATTTGGTTGTGATTTTGATGTGTCGGAAGCTCTCAAGGGTTTGGGATTGGAGACGCCCTTGGAGAAGATTGCCCACAAGGCTTGCATTGAGGTCAATGAAGTGGGAACCAAAGCTGAAGCTGCTACCGTTTTAGGTTTTTGTGACTGTCTTGTGACCCCAAAAAAGTATGACTTTGTGGCTGATCATCCGTTTCTCTTCCTTGTCAAAGAACACAGAAGCCGTCTGGTTCTCTTCCTTGGTCAACTTCTTGATCCTTCTATGCATTAAGTTCATTTCGAAAGTACTATTTAATATCAAATTAATAATAATAAATAAGTAAGTTTTGTGGTTTTTATCACCCTCATGTTCACGTGCACCATCGATTTGTTTTGTAAACACAAAAAATACCAACGTTTGCTGGAAATATTTAAATTTGGCAAATGTGAATATATACAACTTAATAATCTTGGTGATAAAAAAAATGTTTGACATGAGGGTGTTTTGTTTCTCTTAATCATGATGAAGAGATCCAAAAGAAAAGACGAAGCTAGCATCTATGTTTAACTAAGTGGCAGAAACCAAATCAGGAGGAACAGAAGCAAGATCAAGAACCCAACACTCTCTCACACCAGCTCCAGATTGTTCTTCCTGCACCCTCTTAGCAGGAATCTGATGAGAGAGCAAGGCTGCAACATCTTCTTTCTCAACCCACCTGACCGCATTACACCCTAAATCACGTCTCTTAAACAAGTTGTCATTAACCTTCTCTAGATACGCCACACTCAAGCCATACGCATCGCTATACATAGACAAACACACAATGATCTCATAGTGTTTACTCTTTCTTCTCTGAAGACTTGTATTTGTCTCTGAGTATACAGCCCAAACAGAGCCTTTCCTTGGATATATTTGGTATACTTCTCGTGCAACCCTTTCACAGTTGACAACATGAGAGAATAGTTTCACATGTTCTATCAAAGCTTTCTCTGAAACCCGAAACCTCCCACAAGGAACATGATGATGAGAAGAGCTGTTCTTCACCCAAGAGATCAGTTTCTCGCTGTCAAAATCCAACCAGCTTATCCATACCTTAAAAGGGTTCAAAGAGACGACTTCACTTACCACACAGTAACTCCGAGGCATATTGTCATCACCACCATCATATACCGCCCAAACCTGCCCTTTCTTGAAACTCCTTGGCGTCCTCTCTTTATCAAAATCATACAATTCAAGATCCTCATCTTCCACTATCTCACTTAACTCCTTGTGGTTAGTCTTCTTCTTCTTTGTACTCTTCTTATTCTTTAAAGCTTCTCGCTTACCATTCTTTGGTTTATTTCTCTTTAGTACTGATTGCATTTCTGCTAAAGTCATCATCCCTTCATCTTCTTCATCCAAACTCTCACCTGCATCCAAAGCTCCTCCTTCCTCCACTCTCGTCTCACTCACTCTTCTCAGACTTTCACCATCCTCACCAACACGCTTCTTCCTCTTCCTACTATAAGTTATAATCTTGGAGGAAGAAGCTCCACCTTCTTCTTCCTTAGCCTCAAAACTCTTCTTACAACCACCACACATCAAACTCTCCCCCAAATACTTCCTATCAAACTCACGCACAAACCCACACCCCAAGCAAACCGTCGAAAACGTCGACGTTTCACCACCACCATCACAAGCACCAGTCTCGCCCTGAATCCTAATCCTCAACTTCAAATCATACTCACTCCTCATAACATTATCTCCCAAAACCTTAAAAGCCTCATTCACAAGCTTAAACCCTTCCTCACACCCAACATAAGGATTCTTATCAGGATGCAACGCCAACGCTAACTTCCTATACTGTTGCTTTACAGTGTCAAAGTGAGAGAAAGGCTCTACCTTTAGAATCTTGTACCACTCTGGAGCATCTCCTTCGGAGGAGGCGGAAATGGTTTCGAAGGCGGTGACCATGGAGGATACGCCTTCCGTGTTGGGAGCCAAGGTGAGGGCTTTACGCGCGTGGTTTAGGGCTGACGTCAAGTCACCGGAAGTGAATGAAGATTCCGCTAGGGTTTTGTGGTGTGCCGCTTCGTTTAAGGTATCTTGGTCTGTTGGTTCTGGAGATGCCATTGCGGTGGAGGAGACGGAGACACAAAGACAGAGAAAGACTTTAACTTTTGAAGAGGGCTAAAAACAGAGTTGTGTTTCTTCTTTATTTCGTTTTCTCACCCTAATGTTTTAATTATTTATATTTCTCACCCTATTAGTCTTAAATAAATCTTTTATGCCTCTACTTTGTGGATTATTAACCTAATAATTGGAAATTTTAGATTAGTACAAGTATGCATAAAATAATCTATACTTTATGGACAATACTAATATATAGATTATACATATTATAACTTTCTAAATGATTATTATGTAGATTGTGATGAAAAATAACATGTGTTTACCTATTTGTTCCCGATAAGTCAAATGACTATAATTCTATCAAATATATTTCTCTCTAACCACAAACTAATTGTTGATAGCAATTCAAGTTTATCATATTACATGTAATCAGCAACTATCAGTTTTGGTTTGACAAAAAAAAAAACTTTATTTTCAATTGGGTAAAACAAAACTGAGTCCTTTTTGGAATTTGGACAATATGGGTAGATTATTGATAGGTTTGGGTAAAATACATAAATAAATTTTAAAAAGGGTGTTCTTATATAAAAGGGAGGAAAGACTTAAATTTTTACTTCATCGTGAACTCTCTCTGTCTTTCTTCTCCGTTGGAAAAAGACAAAAACAAATCATTCAATTTTACTCGGTCTAAGGCATTGATTCTCTAACTCTCTTCAGATTTTGAAGCTCTTAGATTTCATACCTTATCTTCAATTTGTGCTTCTGTGTTTACAAACATAACCAGTCGTTAAAAAGGTATTTCTTGTCGCATCTCTAGTTTGTGTCTTTGGTTTAGATTTTGTCTGAATTCGATTTGAGTTTCGTTACCTACACGACCAAGTTTATTGGAGAAAGAAGAGACCTTTTAGAATGTTTGATTGCCAATGTATTAGTCTGTGTTTGCGTAGGGAACTGTATTGCTCATCCATTTAGGTGGGAATGTTGAATTGCTGGATGTTCATCTTTGTAGGTAGCTCTCACTTGTTGTTTTAGAAAAGTGTTGTGTGTGATAATGGCAAGCAATGATATTGAGAAATCGAATCAAGAGAAGGAACCTTCAACTCCTCCTACCTCTTCACAGGTTTTCCTTTGCCCTTGTATCTAATCTAATTGTGATTCTGTTCCCTTTATTAGTGATTTATGCTATATTCTGTGTTTGCAGGAACCTTCTTCCGCTGTGAGTGGTGGCATGGCTACTCCAGAATGGTCTGGTTTTCAGGTCTAAGACATTTTCCTTACTCTATGGTTCTATAGTCTGTTTTTCTTGATTCATTTAATCTCTTTTTTTTTTGCTCCTTTGACAGGCATATTCTCCTATGCCGCCTCATGGTTATGTAGCATCAAGTCCCCAGCCTCACCCTTACATGTGGGGGGTTCAGGTAAACTGCCTCTTTCTGTATCCATCACCTTTTATCTTGCTGTGTGTATCAGTGTTTACATTGCTTGGAGATTTTGAGGTTTAGTTTACATGAGTTCTAGCGTTTAGGAACTGGTCTTGTTCTGAGTCAAGATTAACTCCTACTATTAGCAACGAATATAGCTCAGCTCTTTATCCTTGTAGCCCTGATTGATTGCTGAATGTGAATTTGTGCAGCATATGATGCCTCCTTATGGAACTCCAACTCATCCGTATGTTACAATGTATCCCCCAGGTGCCATGTACGGTCATCCTTCAATGCCTCCGGTAACAATACTTGATTACTAGGGAGCATGTATTGTATTGAAATGATGTGACTGTTAATCATTAAAATATTACGTTCTGTATCAGGGTTCTTATCCATATAGCCCATATGCTATGCCTTCTCCAAATGGAACAACCGAAGCTGCTTCTGTGAGATTGCGTCTCATCATCTTTAATTTTCTTTCTCAGATGCTACTTGATACCATTGGGATCATAACTGAGAGATTCTATTTTATGCAGGGGAATACGACAGGCGGCACTGAGGGTGATGCTAAACAATCTGAAGGGAAGGAGAAATTGCCTATCAAAAGGTCAAGAGGAAGCTTGGGAAGTCTGAACATGATTACAGGAAAAAACCCTGGAGCATCTGCTAATGGAGCTTACTCTAAAAGGCATGTAACTTGCTTTAAATTTGATCCAATCTAAGGGATATGGAAGACTCTAAAACTGATGGTTCAAGTCTTATTTTTAATTGTTACAGTGGAGAGAGTGCTTCTGATGGTTCAAGTGAAGGAAGTGATGCAAACTCTCAGAATGTAAGTTTTTGAAAGCTATCATCAGCCTTTTCATTGTTGCGGTTGATAAGTCTCAAAGATATTAAATCTGTCTATGAGGGTGAGGAGTTTCTATGATAGTGATTCTGATTTGCTTTTGAATCCTTGTAGAACTCTGGATCTGGACACGACGGGAAGGATGGTTTGTTTATGATCATTTCTCTTTTTTTTTTCCCTATCATCTGTATCATATGACTAGCACCGTGAAAGGTGCTTAAACTGAAGAGTGCTGTATTGTTTTTTTGTAAGCAGCATCAGAGAATGGTGGTTCTGCTAATGCCGACCACCGAAATGGAAGTGTTGGTACACCGGTGAGCCAGACAGTGCCAATCATGCCAGTAACAGCTGCAGGTGTTCCATGCCCACCAACAAACTTAAATATTGGGATGGAATATTGGGGTGCTCCTCCTACTTCAGCATCTACACCAGTTCATGGAGTCGTTGCTCCAGTGGCACGAGATGGTGGCCATTCACAATCCTGGTTACATGTGTGTGCTTCTAAAACCCTAAATCCTCTCATAAACTCTCAAATCTGAAAGTGCTTTGTGTTGCAATATCATTAGGACGATAGAGAAGTTAAGCGACAGAAGCGGAAGCAATCCAATAGGGAGTCTGCTCGAAGATCCAGGTTACGTAAACAGGTACTCACTCCTAAAACATCATCTTTCAAAAGTTTATAAATCACGTCCATGTGAGCAAACCAAGGACATGAAACAAGTTTTTTCTTTTTTTTTGGGTGTGTGTTTCAGGCGGAATGTGATGAACTGGCGCAACGCGCCGAGGTGTTGAATGGAGAAAACGCAAGTCTCAGAGCAGAGATCAACAAGCTGAGAAGCCAGTGCGAAGAGCTCACCTCTGAGAATACTTCTCTCAAGGTATTAAAAAAAAAACAGAAAAACTTAGTTTTAGAGTTAATCAACTAAACAGTAACTAAGTTTTGGTTCTTGCAGGACCAACTTTTATCATTCCCTACACTTGAAGTAGTCGTTAACATGAACAAGGAAGAGCAAGAAAAAGACAACAATCAAACAGGCGTAGCAGAGAAAAAAGGTTGATGATTCATACAAAGACTCATCGTGAACACAAAAAAAAAAAAAAAACATACAGCAAAACCAATTCCTAACACAATGTTGTAAAAGTAGTTCTTTGCTAACAGAATGGTTGTAGGAGTTCTTTAGTATCTTCTTGAAGATGTTAGATCAATAGGATAATAACATATAATCAAATGTAAACATGTGACTGCTTGAACCTGAAGCCCCCTAACAAGTCTGAACGATGTCGTTTTTAAGTCAAGTTTCGGTTATACTTGAACCGCGTAGGTCAAACCGGCAAAAGTTGACAAAAAAATTAATAATAAAAAAATTAATAATGTTTAAATTTCCTAATAAAAAGGATTATTAATTAAGCCTTTTTGTCCACGCTTTTTTTTTCAACCGCCGACTTATTTAGAACTTATTCGCTGATGAAAGATAAAAACTCAATAAACATATAAAAAGGCTTGTTCTTCCTTGGTAGTCACCGGTTTAGGGTTTTCGTTTCTCTTAAGGCTTTTTTATCTCCCTCGATAGTCTCTCCTTGTTTGATATAGCAGAGAGAAACCCTTTTTTTCCTTTGCGATCCTTCTCCAGAAATTCAGAATATTTAAATTAAGGTTAATTCCTTATTATCTTCTGACTAATGTTTTTGTCTGTAATTATTCTACCCTTGTTGTTCCTCAATTTTATCTTTAATTCTGTTAATTGCTGTTCCTTTTATTCGATGCTTCTTTTTTTTTCTTTAATATTTGTCTGTATTCATGTTCTTATGATGTGTGTTTGATGGCTTACAGTGTTTTAATTTGTAACCAAATTAAGTTGTATTTTTTGAAAATTTGTTTAGAGTTAGGATATGCTTTTGTTTTGTCTTTCTGCTATGATTCTTCTTATTTTGCTTAAAGTTGTTATTGTCCAACACGAACTCAAAAAGCTTTGTCTGAGCTGCATAAATCATGACAGCTTTGGATAAAAGTCCTGTTGTATGTTGTGGTCTGATTCCGCTATTGAAGATTGGAATTTTTGGTTAATCTTTGACGTGCAGGGGACACGTTTTTGTGGAAAGTAAAGCTGGAGAAAAACAGTGACATTTGTTCTCTGTTTACTTTTGCTTTTCTAAGAGTCAAGGCACCAAAGATGAAGACTAGTCAGCCTGGTTAGTCTCAAGCTTCTCCTACTTGATCTAGTTACTCCGGATTGGTTATTGTATTTGCTATTTTTCTACGTCTTTGTTTGTTTGTGGAGGTATGCTTGTATGTTTTGTACACCAGTGTGTTATTTTAGCTTAGCTTCTTCTTACCTGTTGAGAAACTCTTTGGTCGTTGAATATATTGGCCTGAGATTTAAATGGATTTTGCTGGTAGAAGCAAGAATCATCCTTTTTTAATTTAATTTAATATTGCATACTGAATCTGTTCTCCTCATGTCCTGCCTTTATATCAATAGTGTTGCTTTTTCTGGAAAACTCATTTCATATAGATGATTTCTAATAGTGTTTGTAGCAGTGCCTTTTGCGATGTGGTTATTGTATGATGATAGTCTTTTTTATGTTATGCTTCTTTACTGTACTCTGAGATTAATTATATACATTTTGTTTACGGTGACTGTTGTTTCTTCTTCCTGCAGCTATTTTCGATGATGATGTTAAAGAGTTTCCCTCTTTATTACTGCTAGAGATTTAGATTTGTTAGCTGAGTTCCTATTCAAGGTTTCAGGTTTAGCGTTGTTAGCAGATAGAAATGGAACCACACATCGTCAAGGTATTGGATAGTGATTTTAAAGATGGACTTGGAAAAAAAAGAAAGCATCCCGCGTACTTTACTTCATATGATACTGGAAGGTCATTTGCAAAGCTGCAATGCGTGCTCTCACCTAACGGTTCAACTGAAAAGCTTGATAAAAGTAGAAACAGAGCTAATGTTTCTGAGAATCTCTCTGGGAAGTCTTTGGTCAGATACTACTCTTACTTTAAGAAGACAGGAGTCCCAAAGCGTGTGATGTTCTATGAGAACGGTGAATGGACTGATTTGCCTGAGCATATTATTGGAGCCATCAGGAATGAGCTTGAAGCAAAGCGAGCTGCAATTGAGGTTAGATTGTCCGGTCGAGATTTTGTTCTTGATTTCTTACATATGCATCGACTGGACTTGGAAACTGGTGTGAAAACACACCTTGCATGGATTGACATTGCTGGAAAATGCTTTTTTCCTGAAGTTTATGACAGTGGGGAAGATCTTGAACAAGATGGTCCATGTGAGATCAAGCTGCACCTTGAAATTGATATCAATGGTGGAAAATCACCAAAGCTGAAGTTGAATAGTATAGATGATATCAAAATTGTTCAGAGATCTTCGAATGGGAGATGTGAAGAGGCGTCAGAGGATAGCTGCAGCCACGAGACAAGAACTAGTATGTTCTCTGGTGTCAAGCCTGCTGAGGAAGAACTTGATATAGATGCTGTCAAAGAAAAGTTTGTTATAGGTATGGCCACTCTAGGTCATGTAGAGTTGTTTGATGCGTATCGGTTTTCAGGTGACATCGCCAAAGATCGTCAATCTCTTTTCAAGAATCAAGCTGACATCACTAAGCTAAGCCGAGGAGATGCAAACATAAGATATGCTTGGCTTCCTGCGAAAAAGGAACAGTTATCTGCTGTATCGATGCATGGACTTGGAGTCTGTGGAGAGTTAATCAAAAAGTCAAAGTATGGTGTTGGTGTTCACTTAGCTGCTGCAAACTGTCCTTACTTCAGGTTTTTCTTAACCTGCCCTTATCTGCTTTTTTTTTCCACGATTTTAGTGTTCTCTTTTAAGCAAATGTGAAAGATGTTGTTAACAGTGCTACACATTGTGATGTTGATGAAAATGGTGTGCGTCACATGGTTTTGTGCCGTGTGATAATGGGGAACATGGAGCCTCTTTGTGGTGATAGAGCTCAGTTTTGTACTGGTGGAGAAGAGTATGATAATGGAGTTGATAGTGTCTCGAGTCCGAAGCATTATCTTGTCTGGAACATGAATATGAACACTCATGTTTACCCAGAATTTGTAGTTAGCTTCAAGCTGTTGTCTATCCCCAATGCTGAAGGTGATTTCTCCCTAAGTTTCATTTCCATAAAAAAAATCTACTGATGACGCATTGAATGGGAGACAGCATATAGACATTGCTGAAGATCAACTATTTTGGACCTGTATCATTTTGTGACCTCTGGGGGTAGTAGTAAGTAACACACTTCATCATCCCGGAGGTCCAGTGAGATGTTCATGGCTAAATCCATATGAATATGTTGACCATCACATAACTAGGTTACATATACCGTTTTTGCAGGGAATATACTTTCTGCTACTCAGAGTAAGCATGAGAGTTCAGGGCTCACCTTGGAAGGAGCCAAAGGTCCTCTCTCCAATGTGAGTCTCATTGTCTCAAGGGTTTAGTGTGTATTGGGACTTAAAACATTAACACAGCTTGCTTGTTTGAAGCAGGGGCTAGGAAGTGGGAACAACAGTGCTGGTTCCAGCACTAGGAGACCCAGCTCTACTTTGATGCCTTACCCTCTGCTTTTCAATGCCATCTCAAGAAAAATTGCTCAGAAAGACATGGACTTGATCACTGCTTATTACAAACAACTTAGGGTATAGTAGTAATTAAACTATTTGAGTTCTTGCTTTTTCCTTTACCCATATGTCAAGATGTCATTGTTTTATATATATGCTTTTTGACAGGAGAAGAAGATATCTCGAGAGGGATTTTCGAAGAAGCTGAGGATGATTGTTGGAGATGATGAACTTCTGAAAACCACCATTACAGCTCTGCAACGCTTGCCGCCACAAAATGCCATGAAAATGGAACCGATCACAAGTGGCTGTTAAAGATGAGGATAGAAAAAATGTGTCGACTTCTTTGTCCTGTCTCGTGAAACTTTATAACTAGAATGAAGACAAAAGGAACTTTTTCCGTTTAGTAAACTCGTTGTGGAACTAATCTTTATTTGTCTTGATATTTCCTCAGTTTGAATTTGTCTTTATTGATCAACAGCTTATGTTACTTTGTTATTTATCAAACCTTTTTTTCTTATTATTCATCAAACCTGGCTTACTCAAATCATCAAATATACTTCAAAACAAATTATCAACAACAATGAAGTTGATAACTCTTGAAGAGCAACAACGCTTGTGGCTAGTTTTATAGAAGGGATAGAATAAAAGAACATTCTTTTAAGAATACTTATGAGAAGCTAGGATGAGCTCCGGTGTCAGACGACGGATCCCATCCCGGAGGTTTTATATTGGGCCAATCACCACGACAACCTAACCTTATGTACAGACTCTTCTTACCTTCAAAAGCAAAACCACCCATTTAACGTTTGTTTCTCAGATTAATCACCAAAATTGACTATTTTGTTTCTTCTGTTTATTTACCTGGAAGTCCCTTGTCTGAGATGATCAGTTGCTTGAGTGCACTTAACGAGGCCTGAGCCACGCTCTTGGCATGCGTGGGGTCCCAACCTTGTAGCTTTACTACCACATCTGCGTTTGAATACCCAATCTCCCTCTCTTGCTTGTTTCGCAATGCTTCTTCTTTAGCTGATTCTTCATCTACATTCACAAGAAGATCAGCAAATGATAGTATTTTTGTTGATAAGAGAGTCAACACATAAAAATGGATGTAGAGAGATTTGACCTGTGGCTTCAGTTTGTGATACCCACACAGTAAATCCAGAGTAAAGATGTCTCCACTTATCAGCTCTCCCCGCAGCTCCATGTTTACCTCCCAAAGTTGAGACAACAGTACGGACATGGCTGCAAAAGCCATGAAGATCGGTGATCAATCTTAGCTGGGGGAACCAACTGAAAAGAGATTCAACACTAGATATGCCATTTTTTTACCTGCTCAAGCTTTCCAACACCGAACTTTCTGCTTCAGCTACAGAATCTACCCCTTCTGCAAGAATCCCTAAAATAAAGAACACAAAACAAAGGATTCTCAAAAGTGAGAGAAGGACTACTTGTAAGAAGATGATCATGTTCCAAAAGGAGAGACTCACAAGAATCGATTGTTTGCTTTGAAAAACTCTCCATCAACTCCTTTGAGTCTAGAGGACTATACCTGCAGACCACATCAACTGTATAAGACTCTAAACACTTGTGATCAAAACTATTCATATACTGAGCCTTTGAACAAAATACATACCCAAGGCCAACGGCTAGCTCCCTCGACACTTTCTGGTTAATCTCAGTTGAATCTCCAACAACATAAATCGAAGCCCCTTTAAGAAGCTGCATCATCCCAGCAGTCAAAGACTCCCACGACTCAACAACATCAGGCCACTTCAACTCCCCATCCACCTTCTTCATGTTCACAACCAACTGATCTTCATCTATGTACCTGCTCTGATATAAAATAAAAATTCTACACTTCAGCCCTTTAAAAAGAAAAATACCTCAAATACAAAGATTCTTACCAAATGGTTTCAGAAGGCATGATCTTATCAAAGAGCTGATTAGTCTCAAGAAGTGTAATGAGCAACCCGTTACGCTTCTCTTTAACAGATAAAGATGTTCCATCTGCGTCCACAGAGATATCCTTTGGAGAAAGTGTCTCACCTGTCTTCAACCTCAATTTCAACTCCACCTCTTTGCCACCATCTGTGAACTGCATATTACTCACAAACACATAATGGATTCAGTTTCTTTTCTCTTATAAGCTCTACAGAGATGTACAACACACACACACATACATGAACATAGACTACATAGTATCATGGTGAACATTATCAATCTACAAGTTGATCACTCTGATTTTTTTTCTCTAATTTCTACTCTAATTCTAGTAAACACAGTAAACTAAAAAAAAAAAATTATTCTATTTTATTTGTAACATTTTTTTTCAAAGGGGTACAACACAAGGACTTTCCGGGAGTTCAGCCAGATAGTACACTTAACCGCGGAGTTCTGATGGATCCAGTACATTATATAATCGCAGCCATGAATTATTCTATTTAATTTTGTTTATGACTCTATTATAGAGTAATAAATAAAGTTAAACTGTAACATTTTATTCTAACTAGAGATTAATAAAAATGCTCTAAACTACTAGCAAACAATAACCAGCAGTAATCAATTCAAAATTCAATCAACCAAAGATCACCTCGTAATCGAGAGTGGTTGTAGATACGGCGGATAAGCAATTACACGAGAAGTTATTGAACCGTCCGGCCGTAACATTCTGAGAGAAACGGCGGAACTCACGGCGTCGGAGGCTATGAAATCCTCTGAGAACGTGAGGCAAGGGACGAAGCCGAGTCGGGGAAGAGAGAGACCGTTGACCGGTGATAGGGAGTAGGGAAGGAGAGTGGAAGATTGTAGCTAAAGCAGCCATTAATGGTGTGATTTTTTCAAACTACTACGAGTGACGAGGATAAGGGAACGAGACGAAGACTGATCGTTTTAATGGGCCTAGGCCCAAATTTTTGAGTCCAATTATAGGCCCATATATAATGGCACATCCTATTCTTTA